ATGCTTTCCAAAAAGATCTACTGACCTTGCACTCTGGGTTTTGAGATCAGTGGTGAGCCAGAAGCTGGGCCCAATCCAATTTTTCTTTTAATTTTTTTATTGATAAGCTTCAGTGGTTGATTGCCTTTTAATCTTGACATTTTTACAACTCTATCATTTTTGTAAAAGACATGGGCCTTCTGATCTGGTTTTGGGCTTTCTCTATTTTTTTAAATCAAAGCCCAGTCCTCTCTCTTTCCTGTTTTGTGGGCTTTTGTGAGAAGTGGGTTGGTGTGTGGACCTCTTTTTTGGCCCAAACACATACTCACCCATATATTTGGGCTCAAGAAATAAGCTCGAGTTTTTGGGCTCCCAAGCAGCCCAAAACTTCCATTTCTTGCCTCATCAATGAGTCTCGTGAATGCTCGTAACCATACATACCACAACTCGCTCAACAAGCCCCGGGCATTTGCGTGGCTTGAGCCTACTTAAGCTTATAGCGTGCCTAGGTGAAAAATAAGGGTTTTTCGCTTGATATTGCATGTTGTTTGGTGTGCTCGTGCTCGAGTTTTATCGTATTATAAAGGGCTATGGTTAAGTCAAAATGACGTTTGACAGGATAATAAGCATAGGTTCATAGAGCCGATACATTTTACAGGTTCGTTACAACTCTTTTCATGACGGGTTATATATTTGCTTAGCGTGGCACGTGGACCATAACTCGTGTGAGCGCGTACGACGAACTCTCGCATATCCAAATCAGGTTTCTTCTCAGTAAGGTATCGTACTAGGCAGGGAATATATTTGAGCCCAACCTTGAATTTTTTGGGCCTCAACAGGTTCAAATGCCTACCTCTAATATTAGTCACATTCTCCTCAAACAAATTTAATAAGCTTATTTATAGCATTAATATATATCTAGAACAAATTTAGTCATCTCACTTTGTTAATCTCTTTAATAAAATTTATGTGTAATTCGTCTCCAACTAAAAATAAAGTTATCTTCACTAAAGCACCGATGAGATCAACGACCACATACTATATTAAATGAATTCTTGATACGTGGAGAAAAAGAAAAGAGAGATTGGAGAATGTATGGAATGTACGGGTGAGATGGGCCTAACTCGCTCGTTCGCCACCTTGTTTTTCATATTTTTCCCATTTATTCAGTTCTTGACTAAAAAGAAACTTATATTTTTCCTACTTATTTAGTCCTTTACGATTGGAGTATTATTGTCAGATAGCTCATGAGAAAATATATTACAATTTTTATGTCCAAAGATATTTGTACGGTATTTTGCACAAAGCTTTTGGGCCTAGAGACAACTCTAAAAGAAATGGGCTCATAGCTCTCAGGCTTACATTTGGGCCAACATTTTCATAGGAATCGACTTGTGGGCCAATTGGGTCGAAGAAGCTATCGTTAGGCCTTATATACATGCCCATATTGGGCTATTGGTCCTTAAGTGAGGTCGTAAGAGATAGGACTTCACTTAATGGCCATATATAAGGTCCTCACTATAGAATTCTTAGGATTTTCTATGGATATCGATCCCGTATGATGTAAAAGACAACCCATTAGCCACAACTACTTTGACTTTATTAGCATGATTGACTTAGACATTCGTTTTTTCTTTATAGTTTTTTTTATGGATCCAGGTCCTCTACTCTGATTTTCTCTGTCATGATCTGCTTTACTTTTGTTCTCCATATACCACCTGATTTTCTCTGTCATGATCCTAAAACAAAAATTCAATTTACTCCTAATTAAAAAAGGAAAAAAAAAACCCTAACAATGGGATAATTAACGTCCAAAAGCTTTTTTTTTCCCTCATCCTCCTTCTTCGGAGAAAAAAAGAGAATATGATGGAAGTGAAGAAGAAGAAGAAAAAAAAAGCTTTTGGACGTTAACTATCCAGTTAGTTGGGTGTTAGGGTTTTTTTTTTCTTTTTTAATTAGGAGTAAATTGGGTTTGTATTAGGATGATATGCCAACTTTTAAATCCATTAGATTAAATTTTAATAAGGTGATGTCTGGAGAATAAAAGAAAAGCAAATCATGACAGAGAAAATCAGAGCAGAGGATCCTGATCCTTCTTTTATACAAAGCGATATTCAGGGAGATGAACATAGTCCTAATATGTTAACTATTTGAACTACAAATTTCTTATCGAAAATACCGTGTATTACTATTAGACAAGAAATTGCAATATCAAAACTTTTTGAAAGTTGGAATGATGGAATTTTTCATAGGCTCAATTGCTACAGTGCACCTTGAAACATTGGTCAATTCTCATTTTACTCCCTGAAAGTTAAAGTGATCCACTTTGCCCCATTGACCTAGGTTTGATGTTTCACAGTGCCCCCTACCACCAATTCTATCCAAAAATATGTTAAATTTGATGACGTGGCAGGGGTGTTATAGTAATTTTGTGCACCTAAGTTCCTTGCTTCACACAATCACACAAACCCCTAAGAGTACAGTGTTTACCTCAGGCGCATTCATGAATTTAATCACAAGA